GGAGGCCTATTTTCTCTGTTCGAATCTAGGTAAGGATAAAACTCTATAGTTTTATAAGGCCCTTATACTTCCAAGCACCGCGTAGTCGAATTAAGGTATCCACGCTATGGCTACGCTACTATATTAGTATAGTAAGGTACGCTTTTACCGGTACGCCTATTCCTCTTAAAGGCGTTAGGCTAATTCCCTCCCGAGGAGCTAGGACTTAACCTCTTACTTTTATACCCCCTAGGACCTTAGGTAAGGCCTAACCCCTCCCCCGTATCTTCTACGCTATATAGCCGCTTCGGCTACTCGTTATACCTAAAGTATCGCTTACTCTATCTAAGTATCCTTTATCCGTAGCACCGCTTATATAGTTAGGGCGTTATAGTATAAGTTAAGGGGGGGGACCCCCGCCTTTATCATAATTACTTTTATAGCGGTAGCCCGATACGCGCCGGTAATAATATATAGGCATTACGCCTACTTACTAGCTAATCCTTTAAGAACTCTGCTCGGCTTCTCCCCTTTTTTTATTATTATATAGAAGGCCGGGGCCGCGTATAGTATAGCACTCCGGACTACTATTTAGTATAGTTTACGCGTATCCCCGATACGGTAGCCTTATACTAATACTACGAGGCGTATAAGGGCGTATTACTAGGTAAGGAGTTTAGCTTTAAGTTTCCTAATATAGGGACGGAATATAAGCTTTTAGTCGAGGATAACCCCTAAGACCTTTATTTCTCTAACTTACGGCGCCGGTACGCCCTTAAAGCGTAGTAGGAGCGGTAGCGGTTTTTATTTTCTTATAAAGTAAAGGAGCTTATACCTCTATAGCTTAAATCGTAGTCTGCTCCTCCGTGACTAACTTTAGTAGACTTACTATACCCGTTTAAGGTACGCCCGTAGTATGGCCTTATTACGTTTAAAGGCTATAATATTCGTGTTATCGGTAAAGCCGACTACTACGACCCGCGGTATCCGGATTAATTCCTAGTAAAGCGTCCTAATAAATAGTATAAAGAGGATCGGGGAGAGGGGGGATCCTTAGGAGACTCCTGTCTGGATTTCTACCTAATACGCCGTATCGCTATTAAAGCGTAGGCGCGCCGTGTGTGCTATAAGGTATAACTAGGTCTATTTTATAACCTAGTCCGGGAAGCCGTACTAGGCGAGGACTTTAAGGAGTTTTTAGTATAGTACTATATTAAAGGCGCCCTAGATATTAAGCTTTAATTACGCTATAGCCCCGCCGCGCTCCTATATAGTGTATACTCTTTCTATAATAGCCCTAACCGCTATTATCGTATCACGGTATCTACGATTACCTATTTATCCGGCGGGGAGGAGTTAGTATTCCTCCGCTATAATCGCGATTCTCCCTACTATTATCTTCTTAAGGACCTTCCCCGTTACGCTAACGAGTAATATCGGTCGCCACCCTAAGGCTATCGTATAAGCTTCCTTCGGTTTACCTAGTTTCTTAAGCACTATTACTTCTATAGTACGGTATTATTACGGGAAATATACGGCCTTAAGGCTCGCGGAGAAGAGTTATACTAATCGCCTATAAAGCGGTTAGCTATAGGCAAGTAGGAATCCATTTAGTAGGCTATCCTCCCCGGGTACTTTCTATTTTACTATTTATTATATAGCCTACTAGACCTCCTCTTCCGTGACCTTTTACGTAAATAGTATTACCGCTATCCTTAGCGCGCCGCCGATATGCCTACTTTCTATAGGGTATAGTAAGGGGAAAAACTTCTCTACGAGGATTATCGCTTTCCCGTTATATATTATTACGATTAGTCCGCCCACGCTACGCTATAGGGGCGGGATAGATAGGAGGTCTAGGGGTAGATAGCTTACTATCCAGGCCTAATATTATAATACCTAAAGGCTTTTCTAGTCTACTATTATTATATTAATAGCGCCGCGCTAGCTTTTCCGCTTCTCTATTCTAACTAGAATATTACGATATTTTTCTGCCTCCTTAAGTTTATTCTACTTACCGCGCGACCTCCGCCCGTAATAACGCTATGTTAGCCTTATTACCTCCTTATTCGCCTTTACTATCTCCTACGTCTACTATAACGGCCTATCGCGGAAGGCGGCTAGCTTACGGCGCGGCGCTATAACGTCTATAATACTAATAAGGTCCTATAGTATCTAATTTACTACCTAATCGATTACTTCCGAGGTAAAGGGTATTTCTCTATAATCTAGCCTCTAGGCCTCTCTCTAGGCCGCTTCCTAGTCTAACTTCCTCTACCTTTATCCTTTACTAGCGATATACTAGCGCGGTTATGCCGTATTAATATTAATTACCTAGGCTATATAGTCTAAGCCTATTAGGTCTAGATTATCCCCCTAGTATACGTATATAAGGTCCGCTAAGACGTAGTTAAGGTCTAGTATACTATACTATCGATTAATATCGGCTAAGGTCCTAATAATATATCCTTTTAGGGTTATAAGGTCGAGTTACTATCGGTGCGCGAGTATAATAAAGTCTTCTAATTATCTTTCGTATCTATTATACTCGTTCTAAAAGGGGGTTTTTAGGTTAAAGTCTCCTACTAAGATAATACGCTACCGCTCTAGTTCCGCTATAAGATTATATATCGGGGTCTTTTACTCTCCTCCCTTATAGTATATTAAGTATACTACCTATATATTTATCTCCTACTATTATATCCTAACTCTAATTATAGCCTAGGCCTAATCCTTACCTATATGCTATATAAACGCAGCGGCCTTATACTACTTATATATATAAAGCAGGGCGCGTCTACTCCCCTATACTATTCTATAATTATATCCCCTTAAGTAAATCGGGTTCTTCCTTTTATTTAACCCGGGCTTTATTACTATTATTATATTATACCCGCTACGGTTATAGAGCACCTACTATACTCTATCCCGCTATCCCCTTATATTCTACTAAGCGATTCTAATTATTTATCTTAGGCGGCTATACTGCGCTCGCTTCGCTTTATAGTTACGCCTTAAGTATAGCCCGGGGGTAAGGGGTAAGGCTTTATAGGGGCTAGAAAGTAATATTAAAAGTAAGAAACCTTATAATATTATTATCCTGTATAGGCGTAAAGAGGGCGGTACACAATTTAAGGAGGATATTCCGCGACCCTAGGGGGCGTCCTTTTTATTTTCTCTTTTTCTCGGGCGGTTTAAGGACTATTATCGTGTTTAGCGACGCCGTGAAGACGCTACGCTCCCTCTCCGCCCTATATTTCTTAAGTTAGCTAAGGTTAAATCCCCTTACCCTATTAGTGTATACCTCCCTAGTCCGCGCCCTTTCTTTTACTTTACTTAGGTATTCATTATCGAATACCGCGTACGGCCCCTTATAGGCGGCGTAACGCCTTCTCTTCGGGTCTATCTTAGCCTTATACGCCGCGAAGCCCCCTTAGTACGCTAACTCTATACCACTATAATATCCGTATAGCGCTTTTATCGCCTAGTATTAACCTACTTTATATCTAAAGTTAAGGTATTTAAAGTACCGTTATAGGGAGATCTTAGGGTTATAGAGTTTATTATTATAGTGTCTGTAATTAAAAAAGACTCCCTCCTTTATTAATCGCTCCGTGTCCTCGGGGCGGGTAACCTCGATAATTAGTAGCACTATCCGCGCTATATTATTCCTAGGTTTCTTAGCCTTAATCCGGGTAATCATCACGTTATTCTATAGCCGAAGTTCTTATAGCGCTATATCGAGGTCATAAGTTAGTAGCTACGCTATCGGTATTCCTTTTACTATAACTTAGTACGTTTTCTCGTGTATTATAGCTCCTATACCGAATACGCCTTTAACCTAATTATTCGCGTTCGCTATCTACTATTCGTTCCTATACTTAAATATAAGAATCACGTCGCCGCTTAGGAGTTATCGTGCGGCTATTATATCTATATAGCGGGTAACTTAATTATCCGCCTTAGTAATATCTTATAGGGTTCGGCTTTTAAGGTTAGTCTTAGCGTCTCCGTATTGGACTATTAGCTCTTAGGCATATTAAGTAGGTATAACCTTTACTAGTACTATCTTAATACGTTAACGCTACATAGGCGTACTCCCTATTACCTAAGCGTAGGTCTTAAGTCCTGCTACTCCGAGTAGTTTTATTAGTATACCCTTAATCGCTTATTAGATCGTGTCGGTAAGCCTTTTAGTTCTAAGGGGGGGTATATTACTACCGGGTTATTAGCGTAGCGGCTTCCCTATAATAGTCTTATAGTATTATATTTAAAGGATCTTCTATACTAGCTTTAGCGCCTTATTAGCATTTACTCTGTTAGCTAGTAGTCCGGAAAATTAGGTACGTAGTTTTTATAGTACGCTTTCGGTACGCCCGCTTAATGCCTAGGATTTTTAGGGCTTTCTCGGGGCTACACGCCCCGGGTTAGTTCTAGTCATCGTATTCTAGGCGCTCTATAGTGGTATACCGGTATCGCGTTCGGTTAGCCCTACGGGCCGCCCTATAGTATATAACTCACCGCGCCCTCTACGGTCTCGCTATAATATCGGTCTCCGGTACTTTTAAGGGCGTAAAGTCCGAATCCGATATCAGAATTAATTTTATTGATAATACGGCACCTTAGGGGCACTTTCGGCTTAACGATGCTTGTTTATTATTATAAAGTAACGCTACCTGTTGATATTTTAAGTATTAGGATTAAGTGTTAAGATTAAGTTATTTACTATATTACCTACGACTTTTTATATAATATATATATATAAAATGGGTGCGGTATATATACATCTTGATGGTGGCGTTATGGCCCTACTATAATGTCACGTGTGAGGTCTCGATATTAAAACGTGAGGTCTCCCTATTGAGTCCCTAATTAAGGTGAGGTGGGCACCTTTAAGGGGCTAGTACTCTCGGCGCATCTCATAGGCCGACCATCCACTGAAGTGGAGCCCCGAGGTCTTCGTACCATTACCTTATCCGCGATTCAATATCGAGACGTCGTCTGTTAACCAACTTCGCTGTTGTTCTTAAACTTTGGTAATGGACCGATTGCATGAATCCCTGAGCTTTCTGCCATCGGTTTCTGTCTGACCTCCGAGAGTCGACCTCGTCACTCTCAACCCCAGGTCAGACGTTTGGCACCCAGTTCGACAGCCTGAAAATCCACGTTTCTTCGATTGATTCGCTCTATATGCTTCATGGCTATTCGCGGTATTCAGTTGCTTCTCGACATTCAACCCCCCTTTTTTTTCTCACTGTCTTGAAACTCGCTTTATTCTATCTTCGCAAGTTCCGGAGACGGCTCTCTCTTGATACAGCACACCGCTTCTAGAAAGAATATGCTTTTCTCCGTCCACCTCCACTCGCTCTCGCCTCTGGTGCCATGGCAGACCTCCACGAGGTCCTTCCGCGCTTTCCCCAAGGGCAATATGCCCATCTCTTCCAGGCTCTCGACAGGCATGAGCTGACGACCGTGGATCTACTGACCATGGAGGCCGCCGACATTGGGAAAGCTACCCAACTTCCACTATTGGAGATACAAAAAATACGCAACGCCGTCACGGAAGCCCTGCATCGCGACCTTGGTGTCGCGGGCGTCCCCTCGGACACCCATACCCCGTTAAGAAGTTCCCTCACGGATTTAACCACGAAAACGGCCTTCGTCAGCACACTAGACGATGAACTAGATGGGGCCCTCGGCGGGGGCATCCCGACAGGCTACATCACGGAAATCGCGGGCGAGAGCGGCGTCGGCAAGACCCAGTTTCTGCTCCTCCTCCTTCTGGCCGCCCAGCTTCCCCCGCCCCATGGCCTGGGCCGGCCCGCCCTCTACCTTTCCACGGAATCGTCCATGCCCACCAGCCGTCTTCTACAGATGCTCAGAGAACACCCTCGCCTCGCCCACCTCCCGAAAGGCGCCCGGCCGTCTCTCGACGCCATCGCCAGCATGGACATCCCGGACCTCGAATCCCAAGAACACATCCTGCGCTTTCAGGTGCCCGTCGCCGTTGAGCGCCACAACATCGGCCTCCTCGTCATCGACTCCGTCGCCGCCAACTACCGCGCCGAGTTTGACCGTAGCGCTGCTGGCACCAACCACGGGTCCACCATGGCCGCCCGCTCCAAGGACCTCGTCCGCCTGGGCGCCCTGCTCCGCGCCCTGGCCCAGCGGTTCAACATGGCCGTCGTCGTCGCCAACCAGGTGGCTGACCGGTTTGCCATACCCCCCCCGACACACCGCCCCCTGGGAACCCCTACCCCTACTCCCGCGCGGTGTAGGATGCCGCAGGAAAGCCCGCTCGCTTCGCGGAGCAAGGCCCTCTCGCCGGCCGCCGCCAACGAAGAGATCGAACCGACGTCATCCATGGCGGAGCGTCTCCAGTTCCTCTCCAGCATGCCGGAGCCGCTTGGTCCCGAGGATGCCGTCGAGCCGGCGCCAGCCGCGCTGGCCTTCGACCACCAGCAACGGTGGTTTACGGGATGGGGCGATGATCCGTTGGCGGACCACGGACTGAAGACACCGAGTCTCGGTCTGGTATGGTCGGCGCAGATTGCATGCCGCATCGCGCTTCTCAAGAAGCCGGTCTACGGCGTGCATCGCTTCTTGGAAGACGAGTCGGGTGAGCTGAGGGGAGGGGTGCCGACTCTGAAGAGCTGGAGGCGCTGGATGAAGGTCGTTTTCGCGCCACACGTGCGTCCTACGGGACAGGGATTGGAGGGCGCGGTGGAGTATGAAGTAACTCGGAGCGGGATACGCTCTGTGGTCAAGGACGGAAAGAACGTGGAGGGAAAGAAGAGGGCCGGGCACAATGAATCAGACAGCCAACAAAGGGCGGAGGAGGAGGAGGAGGAGGAGGACGACGAAGATGACGACGAATAAGCATGAGAGACGTGATATAGAGGACAGATGACGAAGGTAGACAAAGGTGTACTCTGTACCCTAAGTAGGTAGGAAACATTGGTTGGTCCGTCGAGACGGGATGGGTGCCTGTCTCTCATTGAGGTAAACCCCAAAGGAACAAGTCTTTCCAAAGGAACACCTTGAACAGGGTGCGTGGAAAAAGGTAATTACATCATAACGTGTAACCTTTATCGCGAATGTTGAGGGAGCAGAGTTACGGAGTAATCATTCGTGTGTTGATTGTCACTGTCACAAGTATGAATGGATACGGATATGGAGTCCCTAATTATGGATAACCCGCGTATTAATAATAAATACATACCTTGGACTTATAACTTAAGGTATACATCGAAGTCAGCATCTTGCTTCCAGGTTGATGCCCTGCCATAAGTGACCCAGACATGCAGATGTAGAGTATGATGCACTGGATGTATTCTGGTTGTCTCTGGTATGAGACGGCTGATCCCTCTGTCAAGTTGCTGTAAAAAGAAGAAAAAAAGGAGATGAAGAAGAAGAACGAGAAAAGGAACATGACATAAAACGTGAAACAAAAGGAGAGAGATCCTTACCATTCCCTCTTACTCCGTATTATCTACGAGTCGAATTCCTCCAATCCTGCCACACGAACCCAAATCACGTGCTTCATTTACCGACCCACCCCGAGGTACTCATCTGACAGCGTGGTACGAAGTACTTCTACCAGGACGAGCGAGGACGCCTCTGGTTGACGTAGCAGCCTGCCTCCACTATCTCTGGAACCTGACGGACCTTTTGACCTTTTTGACCCTTTGACCTTCCCGCCTTCCATCACTTGATCTCCTTTCTCCGACCTCTTACCATCACGACAGCCTTTAAATCATCAACCAAACCCACAACCAACACCCTTTGCCCTTCTTCGACTTGCGCATCTCAATCCAGTCTCCCCCGTAATCCTCGAACAACCATATTTCGCCAGCCGCGATTCCGGTTTAACCTTTCATCATGAACCCCGAGTGGTACGTGTCACCCTGCACCAGCTCTCTCCGTCTCTCTCTCTCTCTCTCTCCCTCTCCCTCTCTCTCTCCCCTCTCTCCCCTCTCTCGCGACAACTCCGTGTTTAATGTCCTTTGATAGTCGAGTTAAACTAACTGAGGCTTTTCCCTCACCGTATAGAGTACTTCCATGGCCGCCCCCGATCTCTTCACTTAATCTGTCGAAGCCTCCGTCGCTTTCTTCTCCTTACATTTCGCCAACAATGCAACTAACCCGATCCCCAGATACGACTATCTCTTCAAGCTTCTCCTCATCGGTGACTCCGGTGTTGGAAAGTCTTGCCTGCTGCTGCGGTTTGCCGACGACACATATACCGAGAGTTACATCTCCACCATCGGCGTTGACTTCGTACGAACTGCTCTCCCCCCCTCCCCTCCACTTTCTCTTTTTCCAGCCATAATATATCGGTCTTGGATACTGGTGCTGCCTGGAAGTCCCCGCTGATCATACTTTTTCGTGCAGAAAATCCGTACTATTGAGCTCGATGGAAAGACCGTGAAATTGCAGATCGTGAGTCCCACCGCCAAACCTCTGCCGAATTACTATCCCCCCAGTCGTCGACCAGATATATTACTCTCTTTGTCACTTTATCCTTCATCAAATTTCGGATTGGATGACGGATCTTGCTGACAACTTGTGCTTCTTTGGCGCATTTTTAGTGGGATACTGCCGGCCAAGAACGCTTCCGGACCATCACCTCGTCTTACTACCGTGGCGCCCACGGTATCTGCGTCGTCTACGATGTGACCGACATGGACTCTTTCAACAACGTCAAGCAATGGCTACAGGAGATCGACCGCTATGCCACCGAGGGGGTTAACAAGCTTCTCGTTGGTAACAAGAGTGACATGTCGGACAAGAAGGTCGTCGAGTACACCGTCGCCAAGGTAAGCTTCACCCGTCATTCGCTCTTTTTACCTAGCCTGGTCTTGGTTGGCACAAAAGCGTTGCTTGCCATACATGTCAGCGGCGTCTGATTTAGACGAATCACCGACTGTCATATCGCGCATCCCCGGTAATCAAGCGAGCAAGCCGCTAACTTCCCTCTCCCCTACAGGAATTTGCCGACAGCCTGGGCATCCCATTCCTCGAGACTTCGGCCAAGAACGCGAGCAACGTCGAACAGGCCTTCCTGACCATGGCCCGCCAGATCAAGGAGCGGATGGGTACCACCACCGCCAACAACGAGAAGCGAAGCGTGCAAGTCGGCCCTGGACAGAACGTCTCAGCGTCCCAGGGTGGCGGCTGCTGCTAAGTTGAACGCCCCCCTGACAAGCTTGAAGCGCTTTCGTCCTTGCGCATATCCTTACCCCGGCGTGTGCTCATGTTTTCTTTTCTTGGCGTGAATGCGGTTTTCCTTACAGAGAAGCAGAGAAGACGGACATGACTCTTATCGCGGCCGCCTTGCAGACAAAGGGAGGGAGATAAAGATGGGCAATTTCATTATTCATAATTTTTCTCGAGAGGTGTTGGGAAACGGTTTGGGATCTGGAACCGGGCTGCGTCTTTTTTCTCATTCGCTTTCTTTTCCTCCATTGACGGTGCTTCCCCTCTTTACCTTTTAGTTGCAGGTAGAATTGCTGCGGCTTTCTCTTCCCTCCCCCCCTTTTTCGCAGGACGCGGTGGCTTCGTTCAGGGCTTTTCTCCGTGGGAGCTTATCCCCCCGTCCTCGCCACGCGACATAGACGAATCACATTTTGCTTTCGAGTCCTCGTCGGCTTTTCGACCGCAGCGCTTCGACTTTTTTTTCGCATGATATTTGTTCGCGTTTGGCTTCGGCTTCGCAAGATCATCGGCCCGCCAGCATAGCCCTCGTCAACGATATTCTGCACAATGGAACAACTTGTGCGAAAGCCAACAGGATTCGAAAGGGGGGAATGTGACGGAACCGCGGCGGGAACCCGGAAGCCTTTTTTTTTTGCCTTTTTCTAATGCCAAGGGTCTCTGCGTGTTCTTCGTGTTTTGCCTTGCCGTGGAATCTGCATGTGGCGCGAGCGGGGACCATACGTATGATCATCTGGGTCAAGTTAAGGCGATACCGGGCAAATAGGGACGAAAGATGAAGGGAACGTTGGAACTTGTTAAAGCATATATTTCCGAGGGGAAGCGTCACGAAACGAAACTGGGGGAAGTAACGAGACAAGACAGCACTGGTGTCATGGGTCTCGGGTCTCCGTCTCATGAAACTCATCTCTTTTCCCAGCCATCCTTTCTTCTTTTTTCCCGGTTTGTTCTACCCTTCCAAATTTTCTCTTTTATACTTAACAAGGCCAATATATTTTGTTTGCCCGTTCCTTTTCCTTTCCCTTTCTGTTTCTTCTTGGCCCCAACAGTCCGCCTCTCTTTGCTGGGTTCCATCACTGCGTAGCCGCTCCAGGAGGTATAGGGTTTATCTTGATACGGAGACTGTCAACTAGACCATGCTTTTCTCTAGGGTGCTTCGATCCATTTATAATCCGTTATCGTGTTCCCCTGACTGACTATATCCCATACCGGTGTGGCTCGTGGCCAGCACAGAGCATCGCAATGTGTTTGGTCAGAGGCGAGGCTTCGGCTTTGCCTTAAAAGCCAGACGTGCCATTTCTTATTCGCTTTGAAGATTGAACGTGTATGCACATGGTGATCGGGTTGGATTGTCAAGTCCCCAACGAAAGGGTTACCCAGTACGAGTCTCCCGCTGAGATCTCCCGGTGAAGTCTCCCGCCGCTGTAGTCTCCGGAAAAGAAGCATCGCCACTGCCTAAGAAATTTGCGACGGCTTACTAGAATATCCTTGGTCCTGACTTGGCTGTATCATTCACTATGATCGACGCTCAAGGCGACGTATATTAAAAGTTGAGTATCGTAGAGCCTACCCCGACTCATTTTCCATGTCATCCATCTTGCAGCGGCAATTTTCGGCCTCACTACTTCTTCACATCACAGAAATCCACATTGGCCCGAACCTTAACCTTCGTTGACCTCGGACAGCTGTCTCGAAATCAATGCCATTTATCATGTGTAGGCAATAGTAGTACACGCAACTCTCCTTACGCGGAAGAGTAGCCATTCGCAACAAGCCACTCCTTGAGCGCCGTGGCATCCCGCTGTCGGTACGCGGCCCGGCCTCGAATTTTGTCCTTGACCGTCTCGAGCGTGCGGTTGAATGCGCTGGTATCCTTGTCCTTGAAGAAGGCCTCCAGGTCGCCGATGACGGACGTGTCGGAGAACTTGGACAAGGTCATGTTCACAAAACGGTCCACGACGACGGCGTTGCCCAGCTTGACGACGTTGGCGTCCCAGTTCTCCTTGAGATAGCGCCACTGCAGGTGGCGGGCGGCCGAGTTGGCCGCCAGGCTCGAGCCAAGAACGTGCATGTCAGAGGAGGGGACTGATTCGGAGGCCGGGGCCGGGGGCGACTTGTTGAAGAGGAACGGGAGGATGGTGGACTGGATGAGACTCTCATCGCGGGCGGCACCGATGGCGCTGAGGCAGACCTCCTTGCCGTCGATGGCGGGGGTTGTGAACCACTCCTTCTTGAGCACTTCGACGGACTTGACAGGGTCATTCTTAACGGCCGCACGGTAGATAGGCGTGCGGAGGTTGGGCGGCAAGGGGTTAGACTGGGGCGACTCAACCCAGGCAGACCAGCGCTTGAGGGCCTCCTCGGTAACGCTAGATGTTCGTCAGCAAAAAGAAAAAAGAAAGAAAAAAGAAAGAAAAAAGAAAGAAAAAAGAAAGAAAAAAGAAAGAAAGAAAGAAATGGTCGTGAAATTTGATTTCGGGGAGAAAATTTTAAAGTTGAGAAAAGAGGAAGCATACCCAGGATGTCCGTTGACGCCGGCAGTAAGGATGAGGCGCTTGCGAAGAAGTCCGGTAAGATAGCTCTCACCCTCGGTGGCCTCCCAGCCGACCTTGGCGACGGCTTCGTCAATGAGCTTGAGAATGAAGGTCTCCAGACCCTGCTTGATGACTTCGTCGTCGCCAAAGATGGACTTGATCAGCGCAATCGAGTCGAGCACTTGGCTCCAGACGAGATAGTTATCTTCCTTGGTAAAGCCCTGAACAAAGGACAAGAGAGCGGCGGTGGTACCGTATCCCGAGAAGGCAAGGTCGGCGGCAGAGCCGATGGTGGCAATCTTGTCCTCGGTGGTCAGGCGGTCTAGCTGCTTACCGAGCTTAAGAAGTCGCTCGGCGGGGTAGTTGACGCGGTAGAAACCGGACGCACCCGAGTTGAGCTTGTAGAACTCGGTGTTGATATCGCGGATGACATCCTGTTTCTGCTCGAGGCCGAGAGAGGTGATGCCCTGAGTACCTTTCTTGCCCTCAAGCTCTAGTGGAACCCACCAAGTTGTTTGGTCGTCTTCCGGCTTGACATCGCCGGTCGACAGGAAGCGCGACTGCTTGACGGTGATCTGGTCGGGTTCCTCGGTCACAGTGAGTACGGGATGGCCGACCTTGGAGATCCACGGGCCCATGAGCATGTGCACGTCCTGGCCAGATGCCTCGCTGAGAGCATCCCACAGCGCCTCCGTCTTGGCATTGCCGTACTCATGCTTTTTTAAGTAGTTAGAGACGCCCTGGAGGAAGGTGTCGACGCCGAGATGATTGGCCAACATGCGGATGGCGGAGCATCCCTTGAGATAGCTGATATGGTCAAAGATCTGGTTGACATCAAGGGCGTCCTTGACAGGGACATGGATGGCATGGCTGGCACGGATGCCGTCGAGCTTGAAGGCCATCTCCATGCCCTCGGTGACAAACTGAGGCCACACCTGCCACTCGGGGTGGAGGTAATCCGTGGCATGCCAGCCAACCCAGGTCGCAAAACCCTCGTCTGTATCAAACTGGTTAGCAGTGAAGCGTGAAGAGCACTCGAGGTAAATAATTCAGGAATGATGATAAAGAAAGGGAGAAAAAAGGAGAAAAAGGGCAACGTACTGAGCCAAAGCTCGTCCCACCAGTCCATAGTGACCAGGTTGCCGAACCACTGGTGTGCAAGCTCGTGGGCAACGACGTAGGCGACGCGGTTGGCATAGCGGGGTTCGGAGGTCTTCGGATCGTACAGCACAGCCGTAGTGCGGTAGGTCACAAGACCCCAGTTCTCCATGGCGCCGGCTGTGAACTCGTGGACGGCGAGGAGGTCGGCCTTGGGCAGAGGGTAGTCGATGCCGAAGATGTCAGAGAAGTAGTCGATGATCCTGGGAGCGTGCCACAGGGCCCAGCGGCCTTGTTCCTTGAGACCGCGAGTGGTGTAGACGCGGACGGGGAGCTGCTTGCCGTTGTACTTGCGTTCGGTAAAGGCCTCGACGTACTCGAAATCACCAATGGCCCACGCCAGGAGGTAGGTGCTCATCTTGGGGCTCGTCTCGAAGGACACCAGCTTGTAGCCGTCTCGACACTTCTGCGTTCCCTTGACGGGCATGTTGCTCAGGGCGACCAATTCGTTGGGGATCTCGAGCTCGACGTCGAAAGTGGCCTTGAGGCTGGGTTCGTCGAAGCAGGGGAAGGCGCGGCGGGCATCGCAGGCTTCGAACTGGGTGCTGAACATGTAGTGCCACTCGTCATCACGGGGCACGGCCTGGGACGGAGTAGCGGCGGGCTTGTACTTGGAGCGGTAGAAGCCGGCCATGTCGTTGTTCAGGATACCCTGGAAGTGGATGAGGACGGAGGCTTTGGGAGAGGCGGGAATGTCATCAGAGAAGGTGATGGTGGCGCGTTGCTTCTTTTCATCGTGGGCGATGTCGGCCGACTCGAAGGATTCGCTGGTCTTTCCCTGGACAACGGTGACAGTGGCCTTGGAGAGCTTGAGCTCGACGGCGTTGATGACGATCTCGCGGGTGGGGTTGGTGACCTCCAGGTCAATACTGATTGGTGTTAGTGGCCTGCATGGGCATGTTGTCGCACCCTACATTGTCCACACGGCTTTTCCGAAGCGGAATCGGCGAATGAACACGGGAGCAAGATAAGAGACATACCTGACGGTGCCCTGGTACGTCCAGTCCTTGAAGTTCAGGTCTCTGAGAGACAGAGCGTAGTGGGTGGGCTTGACATTCTCGGGAAGAGTATCGCGGTCCGCCATGTTTCCAAAGCTGCTGGCGTATATGGCCTTGTCGGAGGTGCTGATGGTCGAGCAATAGGGGCGGAGAGCGGTGGCAGTTGAGGAGCTCGGTCTGTCGGCGATGCACTGTGAGCGAGTCGAACAAGAAGACGAGCAAAGGAGCAAACAACACCACTCGTGAGGACACAACGGAGAGCTAGGGATGGACAGATTTCAACTGACCAGTTTTCACTGTAGCGAACACCAACAGGCAGGTATAGGTAGTTCAATGCAAGGGGAGGAGAGAGGAAAAGCGAGGAGGCAGACGACGGGAAAGAAGAGGAGAAGGAGACGGCGGCACGGGGAAGAACGAGAAGGAAGAGACGGAGTACTTCGTAGGTAATGATTGCTGGACTGTAGGTAAGGTAGGTAGTGGGATGACAAAGATGAATGATGATGAGGATGCGGGGCAGATATGGTCTATACCTAGCCTAGGTAGAGGGGAAAAGGGAGGAGGAGGTCGAAAGGAGGGGCAACACGGATGCACCTGCAAGCTGAACGATTGTCTTGTCCACCGTGCAGTGCAGTCCTCTCAGAGCCCCTCAGAACCCCTCACCACTCCATAGGTCCCTCAATGACGCTAACACAGTACCGCTGTGGGCAATCGCGTAACATATGAAGTGGCGCTAACTGCAGCTCTCCACAGGTACCGACAACAACAACAATAACAACAACGGCCCCGCCACGCCGTTTGAGGGTTGCAGCAGCTGCAGCCGCTAGAAACTACCTGGCCGTCCCAAAGCCCCCCGAAGGCTCACTTGAGGCTTTCATTGGGTGGCAGCTTGAAAGGGAACAAATGCATCATGAGCATACCTAAGGTATACTTCGTACACCCAAAGAGACAACTCACTCGGTTACTCCATACGTACTCGGGGGGAGAAGCCCGCGGACTGCAAGAGCGCATAAAGAGCAGTGGAAGAGTAGAAAAAAAGCAAAAGAAACAACTCGCCGTCAAATACACATACCTTGTCCTGGACTTGGTCTTCGACCATACGTTTACCGGGCCCAAAGACGACGGGGACTGTCCATCGCGAGTAGGAGAAACAAAGGAGCGATCAAGAGAAGAGAACGAACGACGGGAAGAAGTGGAATCAAGAGACGATGTGCCCCTCCACCTATACCCGTGTCGTGATGTAGAGCAAACGGACAATGGGCCGGATATGGAGGACCAAGTTCTCACCATCCACGTCCCTGGCGATTTGGATGAGGTTCCTCGCCCCAGGCTGCCGCTGCAGGCCCGCAGAGCGAACCGCTCGATCACAGCCATGGGGACTAATGGCTTGCAGCGTCCTGGCTATCGACCAGAGGCTGTCTTGTTGTGGATCTTGGTACGGATGAAGGTAAAGGGTTTGTATCGTCTTGTTCGCCAACGCAAGGGGCCGAAATATCTTTCGAGACCCAGTGACTTGTATAATTGTTTAATTGATCGTCTCGCACTGCGATTGGGTCAAAGATTCCCGACTAAGGTGCCTTACCTAATACAACAGAGCCCCACAACAGCTGACCGAGCTTCACCGACGACACCTCAAGACTTGCCCAGGTATCAGCATCCTGTTCTGGTGAGACCTCACATGCACCCATTCATGCGCCTGTAATAACACGATACATGCATTCGAGGCAGAGATTCCATGGGACATGCAGTGTACGCTTATAGGGTGTATTCTTGCTGGCCGTGAAAGCTAAAGCAAACCAGAGTGAAAACCATCGCTGTATGTCAAAACAGAAAAGAACCAAAAAGCAAAAGCGCAAGGGCGCATCCAAGTCCAAAAGATGCCCCTGGCTTGCGACGCTTATTCCTCGAGACAAGCTCTCGCATCCCATTCTAACCTGACGTTCCATTTCCCGCTGCCCGCCCGCGGCATGAAAAACCAAATGCACACATACCCATGCCATCCGCATCCAGCCCAAAACACAAGTAGCCGGTGTCGCGAAGAGAGAAACAGCCGTCCAACGCCCGAAAAAAAGAAGAAAGCTGACCATGCCGTAGTTCCCACGACCCAAACATAGACGCTTTCTCTCGCAGCCTGACAGCGTCATTCTAACCCATGTTCTCAAATGATCAAATGAAACAAAAAGGTGGAAACCCCGAAACCAAGAGGCAAAGGAGAAGGGAAGAAAATGGCGACACCCGCGCCGGATATAGGCTCCTCCTCGTTGCGCCTAAGCATCCGTACCGCTCATGGCCGAAGAGGCACCATCCTCTTGCTGCACCTTCTGCGCAACCGCCTCCCACCACTGCCCATGCGCCGCGCGATCCACCGCGCCGACCTTGGCAATTTCGTCCACAATCTCCCGCACCTGGGGCGCAAATTCCGCCAGTCCTAGGCCCGCGAGCCTCTCCCCCGCCGTGCTGGCCGCTTTGATCTTCTCGCTCGCCGACCCGGCCCCCAGCCGCGCGAACATATGTCCCCGGAGTCGCGAGAGCAAAAGACGCAGCACCGGTTCGCGCGGTTCCTCGCCCTTTTGCATGTAATCCTGGCTCGCGTGCAGCACCTTGGTGACCAGTGCCCTCAGATGCGTCTTGGTCACCGCCGGCATGCTTCGGCCGCCTTCCAAGGCCGCCATGATCCCCTGCACCGCCGTGTCGATGTTCTCGTGGTTCGCCTCCAGCACGGTCGTGACGCGCGTCGCCTCGGCCTTCCAGGGGCTCCGCACATCGCGCTTTAGCATGTTCTTGCACTGCAGCAGGATGGCACCCGCGGTGATGATGCGCTGCGTCGCCGACGAGAGCCGCTGCATGCGCTTGTAGTCCAGGAGGAGCATCTCCGGCACCGTCTCCTCGTCGACGGGCAACGGCTGCGTGAACAGGTCCACCAGCATCTGCGCGTAGAACTTGTCCGCCGTGGGACGGCCCTTGGGATGGTTGACCGCCTCAGGGTCGCGTTTGCTTGTCTCGGCAAGGACCTTGGAACGCGCCGAGCGCCAGGCCGTGACCGCTGCTGTCAAGTCCCATGCGTTGTCCTCCATATCCTGGGCGAACCTCTTGGCTTCGTATTGCGGCGCCGCTTGAATGAGCTGCGGTGCGGCCATGGACAGCATGTAATTAACATAATCGCAGAGCATGAGATCGACAAACTCAGTCAGTGCCTCGACGCGGCCCACCAAGTCTCCCTGCTGCAGTTTATTCTCGATCAGATCTTTGCATTCGTCGTCGCGATACGGTGCACAGAGTTTCGGCAGGAGATGGGATATGCCGGCGAAGAATTTCTCATAGGAGAAACTTCCCACTTGAAATTGTCGTTCTGCAAGCTCCACGTCTAAAACCTCCCCGATCGTCTTGTGCATGAAGCCTCCAGGTTTGACCAGGCGCTGAAGGGAGTCCTTGAAATACTGCATCATCACGGTAAAGTATTTGAAGCCATTGTCGGCCAGACCGGCCTCCAGATTGAAACGCATGGCAAAGAATACGGGCCTCTGATTGATGGCCCTGTGTTCGCGGTACTCTGCTGGCGGAATTCGATACTCCTGGTTGATGGCTAGCTCGTGGACGACGACCCGGTTCCGAGGCAGGAGACCGCCAAGTCCGGGCCCCAGGGTGATGGGCTGTGGAGGCCGTTGGTGTAGCTTAGGCGGTGAGCTTGACGGAGTGGCCGGCGGTGTCAGCGTCTGCGTCTGAGGAATGGGAGCAACGAAGCTCTCGGCCGTGGCCGTGGCCGTGGCTTCCGAGTTTTCCATTACGCGCGGCTTCATGTCGCCCTTCGGCTTCGTGGCCGCGCGAGCCAGCTTGGCCTGCCGCAGGGCATCCGATATGAGCTTCTTGCCCCTCTCTGGTCCTGCAAGCTTCTTGATTCTCACAATCAGCTTGACTTGGTTGTCTTTTATGCTCTCCCTGTATGCCTCCGCCGACGCCCCATCCGTGCTGTCCTTGACGGTTTGCCAGATCATCTGCAGCTCGACAAACTGCATGACCATCACCTGAACCAGCGAGTCGGAGTCACGGGATTTCCAGGCTATGAAGGCGTTGTGGAAAGTAGCGTAGACTTCGGGAAGAGACCTTTGGAGTGCGGGAGGCGCCGTATAGTAATTGGCAGCGGTCAAGTGGGACGAGATGTTCTCAAAACAGATGAGCAAGTCCCTGGCTTTCGCCACGAGGTCCTGTAACTGGGGATTAGCAAGGTCGTCATGGGGCATCGGCCGAGACAGCTGTGCTCCAACCTGCTCCTGCTCGCCCGTGCTGCTGTCCTTATTGCTGAGCACCTGGTTCGGGTGACCAAGAATGAGAAACGCGCTGAGAAACGTCCGCAACGCGGCCATCTCGTTGACCGAGCCGCTGTCGCCCTCTCGAAGACCACAGATGCGAAGAATCCTGGAGGTTTGTAGGAGAACCCGCTCTTGGGCGAGCAGCTCGACGACGTGGTCAAACGAGGTATCACGAATACCCTCGACGGTCAAGCCGAGTTCATTAAACTCGGTCAGAGCCTTCCTCCGTAGCATGGCTCGCCACCACCATTGAATCTTGCCAGCGGCGACATCCTCACTGTACTTCGGCGCCCGCTTCTCCTTCGCGGAGGCCTGCACGTCCCCCACCGTCTTCTTGTTGTTGAGGCTTTGTCCCCGAACGCGCTTAGATGCGCACCGGTTCTTGAGCTCCTCGCGCCTGCGGTCGGCCTCGGCCATGCGCTCTTCCATCCTGGCTCGAACCCTAGCGAGTTCTCGTTCCCTCTTCTCCTTCATGCTTTCCGCCACCGCCTTCGCTTTCCTGACATCCTCTGCGCAGGAGGCAACGATTTCAGCCAACTTCTTTTCGCGCGCCTGTTGAGCTGCAAGGGCGCGTTCTTCTAATGAGGAGGTGCCGCGTGGGGCTGCTTTGGCGAGGGCAGCGCGAAGTCGGACTTTCTCGGCATGCGCGGCGCGGTCTGCAAGACGGGCTTTACGGTCTTCGAGGAACGACGTGCGACGTAGGTGATGCGCGATATGCTTGCTCTGGGGGCCTCCCGTGTGATGGGAGTACGCTTGGGCTGAGGAGCATCGCGAATGAACAGAGGAAATCGAGTTACGACGTGAAGACGCTGCCGATTCTTTTCGTCGGTTCTGTGTCGGTCTGTAGAAAGGCGCGGCGATGCGCGGGGGTGGCGGTGGCGATGAATAAATACAAGATGTGTCGCCGTCATGGCCCTCATCCTCGTCCGGTGTGGGAGGCATCGTAAGACTGACTTCTTGCTCGCTGCCTTCTCGGTTCGAGAAGGGGGATGCAACGTCGTCACTCGCATTGCGCTCGAACTCGACATCGGCGAGTTCAGCGTCCGGCGTATTCATGGTGGTCATATCGGAAATACAATCGATAAAACGGCGTCGGAGTACGTTCTGACGAACAGAGGGCTCGCAGGATCGATGGTATGGATTTCAGATCGCGACAAAAAGCGCGTGGTGAGATCAGAGACGTACGGGGCGGATTTTCAAGGTTATTTTCTGCCTCCTGCAGTTGAAATGCAACGGGTTTTGCAAACGATGCGAGAAGCCCAAATGCAGCGATGCTGTCCGCTCGCAGTTTATCTATTCTCCCTTGGGACAAATAATCGGGAGGGCGCAGCGAGGAAGGACAGGGATGAGCTGGTAGGGGGACGAACAGAAATGATGCAAACGAATGTGCAACCCTCGAAGAGGATACAAATCCCGAAATGAAAAGAGGACGAGACGGGGAGAATGGCACTACAAGGCCCGGAAACGACGAAGTGAAGTTTGAGTCAACAAAGATTTATGCTAGGGGCAAAAAAGAAAAAAAGGAAAAAAGGGAAAAAAAAAAAACTGCCTAGTCGACTCGATGGGTACCTGCCATATCCGTCTGGACGGAGTTGAAATGAGGAACAGAACGCGAAAGTTGCAGGACCGGACCTGCCTGGTGAAGGAAAGGCTGGGTTGGTAAAAGGATGACGGAACGGAAGCTTCCAGGGCTTTGCTTATGTGTACTTTCGTACTTTACCCGATGTAGTTGTCATGATCGCACTTCGCACTTTGTAGATCTGCTGATGTAATCCAACTATTTGAGTTGCTAAGCCACGACTTGAGTAACAGTTCGTTGAAAATGCAACCACCAACGCAATCTCCACCTGTTAGTGTGTCTTTTTTCTCTCCCAAGCAGTATTTTACTTTGTAAGTATAGGAAGACTGCTGCGGGTTCCAATATACTTCACCTAATGATCAAGATGGCTTGTTCTCCATTATCTTACCTTTACAAAGCTCGAGACATGGCCAATGGAGGCCCACGAAGGATCTGTACGAAGTATATTTGATTCAGCGTTTCAACCAGCGTGTCGGTTTCAAATTTCGTCCAGCGTGTCCGTTGCTTAATAAAGGTAAGGAGCACTTCTGTTCTCAATTATCGTTATGATCCGCTGTCCGAACTCGGAAGTCATTCTTATTTATTCGGTACGGCGTATCCGCATTCTGTCGTCAACCCCATATCACGTGATACTACCACCTGGCTTGTTCGATCGCAGTTTCACGACATAACCCTCCTTCGAGACTACCTTACAGTTCAACTGACCATTGCCCCCCCTGCTGACCTGACCATTGCCCCCCTGCTAGCGTAAAGTTCACCTGACCTGACCATTGCTATAGCCTCTAGACCTCACCCGACTATTGCCAGTACCAATGGTCGGGTAAGGTCCACGGGAAAAATAATAAAAATAATAGAAATAATAAAGGGGATTACACTAATAACTAGGTCACGTGATATATTAGCACCCTTCCACCCGCTAACCTACTAATAACCAGGTCACGTGATATATCAGCACCCTTCCGCCCGCTAACCTCACCCGACCATTAGTACTGGCTTAGCGAGTAATGGTCGGGTGAGGTCTAAAGGCTATAGCAATAGTCAGGTCAGGTCAGATCTACGCTAGCAGGGGGGTAGCACAGGGGCAATGGTCAGGTCACTAGGGGGGGCAATAGTTAGTTGAACTGCAACCTCCCCTCGTTCCGGGTCGCATCATGTTAGGTGGTCCGTGGCGGGTATTTTGAAGCTACCGCGATACACTTTGGACGATTTTCATCATAAATTACCTACACATAACCAGTCCACCGATCAAGATATTCAGCATCAGATTCTCTGGCTTCTTAAAACGGATTCACATTTTACCTCAACTATTTATCTAACTAAGGTGAAGGGAAGCCACGATTGCCTCATGAGAATAACATGAATCTACTTCATACTCCGTACTGAATACGCATCCGTTTGTAGTCTCCGAGTTTATCAAGGTTAATAAAGTTGTTAGAACGGCCTCTATAAGGACAAGTCACGCGACACTACAGTACTAGAAAAGGAACAGGCCGCTAGGATGGAGACGGTGCTTCGACTTGGCTATCCCAGTAGTCTGTAGAACATTGCTTTCTTATGGGCTATCGGTGGCTCGATCTCTTGGTCGGATAAATATCTCATACCTACCTAGATGGCGGTATCCTACTTGGGTTTCCTCGATGATGGCTAGAAAACATCCACAGGAAAAACTGTTCAATGAAATAAGCATCGACAACGGCATGGAACAAAGTATGCTTTGCTAACACGGTATCACACGAAATACTTCTTGAAGATTCAGGCCTTTCTCCCATTTTCCCCTCCCTCCTTAGTTTGGCCACCTGTTCCGATAATAAAGTGCTGGTTGTGACAAGTATGCACCTCATACGCGCCACTACGAAGTAAATCTTTCTCGTCTACAAAGACAAAGTATGGCAATTCTGCGGAGTACAGACACAGAGGGTTTTTGATACGGAGCCAACGCTCATCTATCCGTAACCATCCCGAATTGGAGGCGGATGTCAACCATGAGCTTTGGGGTTCCCGACAGCACGGCGTACATGGCGGGGAGCCGGGCGAACCCCCTTCCCGCCTGTGTCAGAGACTAGCTTGGCGTGTGGTGCCAAGCCCCTGGGCCAGCTCTAGATCGCCATGAGCGACGGCACGTCCCAGTTTCCGCCGGTCAGTCGTCCCCCCTTCACCGGACTCAACGCCACAATGCCATGGCAAAGGATGAGGGGGTTTCGTTTCGAGACCGACGGACGGGACACCAAGTCGCTTAGCTCAGTCAGGAATGTAGATTGGTCAAATCGTACGGTAAATCCAGCCAGCCCCTCGAGGGTAAGGGACAATGACAATGGCTCGGGCAAGGAACAAAAAAAAAAAAAAACGTGGCATCGGGGATAGTGTCGGAGAGCTTGGACCTATTAAAAAACAGGAACGGTTGGCAAGACCGAATTTCAAGTTTAGCTTGCCTGCAAGCACGCCGAGGTGTGGGAAGACCCCTCTTTGGCGCCTCATCAAGCCCCTGATGAGCGATTCAATATCCGCTTCCCTCCAAAGTGGGAAGAAATCACAGCAACGACATTCTACGACTATCCGTACTTCGTCCGAAGTACGAGCGAAGCACATAATGCTGCTCATCTTTTGGTGGCTGAGCTCGTGGGAATGACGTCACGATGACCACGGACCTCTAATAACAAAGAAGCTTAAATCCAGGAGCCTGTACTTCGTACAAACACTGTAAAGGTACCTACTACCGAAGGTAGGTAAGATGGATGTCTCACAGATATCGGTAAGTGCAGAACATAGGTACGTACCTTACCTAAAGGGGTTCTATCTACCTAGATTAGGTAGTCCGATGTGCGAAATACAGGTATATAGCAACGTGAAGCGCATGACGACAAAATGGGGTGATTTTCCACTTAATTCTTCCCACCCCAACCGGCACTAAAAATGTTTGAACTGCGGTAATGGATCCCTTAAATGGATATTTGTGTCAAATGTCTCGCCCTGCGGTCCTTTACACTGTACAAGGTCAATTATGTACTCGGAGACAGGGAGAGCGCGCGGGGTCGGACCCCCATTTATCCTCAGTATTCCAGGCCAGGCAAATCGCGAACATGCTTCGTGAGGCGTCGAGGGGCAACCACCCTCACTCGGTGAGACGAGTGTCGATCGGGTGTTCTAAAGCGATCCAGAACACGGGGTCGGCAATCTCGTAGACATGACGGACGGCTGCCGTGAGGAAGACACGGGTGAGTACGAAGAATGAGGAAGTACGGATACAAGTACGTCAGTACTCCACGAATGTCGCACTTTGTATCCATCCTGCTGGACCGAGTGAGTCGTGCTCGCGAGCCGTGAGAGTACTGAGTAATTAGGGGTGGTCGAGTTACCACGGGATTATGTAAGGAGGGTGGTTAGTGGGTGCATAAATGAAACCATGGAACATGCCGCTTCTCCGTCCGGTAGCCTGGGACAGGTTCGAGCTGAAAGGGGTCGGAAAGAATGTAGCCCGTGGTTTGACTACATAGTACGGGATGATGCGATTTGGGAATACAGAGTGGTTTGGCGGTGAAGCACGTATTGCAACGACGCCTGCTTGCCCG